CAGTTACAGATGGGCTGGGGATGTGGGTGCCACCCTAGGGAGGTGGGCAATCCACCAGACCCGTGGGTCTCCTGTGGGCAACCCACCAGTGCTCCCTTCAGCTCTCCCCCAGCCCAAGGCCCCATCATACCTCCCGGGTTACTGCCCTAGGGTCAGCCCTGCACCGGCCCCTGCACTCAGAGCCCCCCAGCAGCCCCCGTGGCCTCCTGCACCTTCACCCTCCACTCTCCTCCCCATTCACCGAGGCCCACCCCTCCTGCCTGCTCCTCTGCTCAAGGGGCTTCTTAGGGACCTTCCTGACCCCCACAAAAGGACAAACCTCACCCTCAAGCATCTCTGGCCTTCTGCTCGTCACTGCACGTCACTAGCCCACGTGCCACGCGCTCACTGTTCACTGTCTGCCCCGGAGAAGGCAGCCTCCGTGTCACCACCGTGTCCCCAGCAACTAGAGCATTTGGCAAGTACCTTCCAAGTGAACGAGGGTATGGACGGCCAGACACTGAGTAAAGGAGAGAACGTGAAGAGAGATGGAAGCCAAGGAAGCGGTGGGAGACTGGATATGGGCAAAGGGAATCCATCCTTCTTCCCTCCCTCCCATTCATTCTCTCCCTTTCCCTCCCCATCTCATACCCTGTCCTTGTGCATCAGCCCCCAAGCTTGTCCCACACCACATCTCAGCCGATGGGCTGCTGCCTAGCTCACTGGTAACACCACAGTCTGAGAACTTGTGTGCCAGCCCTGCTTCCTCACCGGCCATGCCAAGTGCACACTCCGCTCCTCCCCCATTTGCCGCTTCGAGATCAACAGACATGGACACCAGGGTTCTGGATCCCACTTCCCCTCATCCACCCAGGACGTCTCTCCAGCACTTCCTGTCTACAGCCGCCGCTAGTCCTTGCCTCCCAGACTGGCACACAGGCTGTAGCCCTCGTCCTGCCCCTTCATCTCCCTCCCACCACTGCCCCAGCTTTCTGCCTTGCTTTGCTACAAAACTCCCTGAAAAGAAGAGCTGCCCACAGGTGCTCACCAGGAACCCTCCTCCGTCCCCGTAAGAGCCTTTCCCAGCAAGCTACCGTCAAGAACCCAGCACTTGCGTGTTGCTGAATGCCATGCTCAGCTGTGTGCCCCCCTCTTGCTCTGTTCAAGAAGAGCTCTTCCTTCCTGAAACACCATCCACTTTCCTCTTTGGGTTCTCCACCCACCTGACTGGCCAGTCCCAACCTGCAGACTCAGGTCCCTGGGCTCATGTGGGCAGCGTCCCCAGGGATCCCGTCTAGCTTTGGGCTTGGAAGACCATCGGTACACCTGCGTCCTGCATTGACACCTCCAGCCACAGCCTCCCCGAGGATCTAGATGGCTCACCCCTCATGTCCTTCCAAACTCATCATGGAGGACTTCTCTGAGCATCCCACACACAGCAGCCTCCCAGCCCACATTCTGCACTCCTTACTCCCTCTTCCACGTGGGAAACTGAAGCATGGTGTTTCCACTTATGGAGTGATCTTCATGGCGCTCCCACCCCCAGGCACCGTGATGGCCATGAAGCGCACAGGTCAAGACCTGTCCTTGTCAAGCATATATTCAGGGGCGGGGGCGGCGGAGGGCACAACTAAACCTCACATGTAAGTGAAGGATAATGATCTAGGAAGACTGTTTACACTAAGAAGAAACAGTAGGGTTGCGGAGACTGTGCCCCCTGGGCAGAGGCTCAGTAGTCTTGTTCACAGCTGTGTCCTCAGCGCCTGGCAGAGGCTCAGCAAATTCTGCACAAATGAGTACTGAGTGGTTAACAAATGACGATTAGCAGGGGGAGTGTCGGAAGAGGGCAGCTCCAGCAACAGAGGCATGGATGAGAGGGAATGTAGGAGGGCAGCCCCTCAGCTCATTCCCGTGGAGCTAGGACTAGGTGCCGTGACCCCCGTGCCAAGGGTGAACGTAGGCTTGGTTTACAGGAGAGTATATGAGCGTAAGAGGGTTCCCTGAGGCAGGGGTGGAGTCCCCGTCCCACCCCAGGCTCCTCTCATGACCCGGACACCAGCCTCAGAAGCATACAGACCCCAGCTGGCCTCGAGGGACAAGCTGGGCTTCACCAAGCAACGCAGCCTCCCCAGCCAGAGTCCCTCCCCTCCCTACCAAGTAAACCCTAATTAAAAACAACAAAGTAATGAGAAGTAATGCCCCTCCCATGGCTACCCACAGGGACCTCAGCTCAGGAGGGGTTGGGTCAGGGCAGCTCCCTGGATTCCCCACTGGCTAGCACTCACGCCGAAACAGACCTGGGGCCTCCTCCTACCCCACAGCCACATGCACCCAGGTTCACAAGTCCCGTGAGCTGCAAGCAGGAGCAACACAGCAGGTTCCCTGCGTGACTCTGGGCCCACACGTGAGCCCCCTACCCACCCGGGGGTCCCCTCCCAACGTGGAGACACCTCTGGGGATGATGTGCAGAGAGAGGGAGCTTGAAAACCACCGGGGCCAACTCCCGGCCCTCCTCCTGCAGACACAGAGAGCAGAGAGTCTGCGTCCCGGATGAGAGACAAAGAACACGGCCAAAAAGAGAAAGACAGCAAGAAAGAATGAGAGGGAAAGAAACAGAGACAGAGAGGACAAAGGAGAGCGAAAGGGTCAGAAATGCAGAAAGGGTTAGAAATACAGAGACAGGACCAAGAAAGTTGGGGAGAAGGAGGGAAGGAGGGACAGAGACGCCGAGAGATTGGGGGGCGGTGGACAACAGAACGGCAGGAGAGAAGTACTCGGGAAGAAGCAAGGGAAGATCAAAGAGAAAAGACATGGACAGATGGAGGGGTCTCCAAAGAAGGGTCAGGGACCAGCATTAAGGTCTCAGGACCCTTGGGACCCTCTCCCTAGGGCTTCCAGAAGGTGGGCCCATCCTCTTCTCTCTTGTGTGTCCCAGAGCAAGGAGAGCAGCCCGGGGTGCCCTACCCTCAGGAGGTCCCTCCCACCCTCGCTGAGGGACCAGCAACCTGGACCGGGAATCGGAAGACCAGGGGTCCTGCCAAGGGGTCAGTGGGGGCTCCTCTGCCTCCCTGCCTTGTTCCCAGAAGCCCAAACACTCAGCACCAAAGATCGCATCCTGGGAGGCAGGGTCACACCACCCAGCCCGCTCCCAGCAGGGCAGAACACAGAGCACCCCCCACCTCAGTAACCCGTTAATTCAGCAGACACTCTCTGATCTCTCCTGGGGGCCCGCCCCAAACGAGGCTCTGGGGACACCCTGAAAAATAAGACACCATTCTTGTCCTGAGGGACTCACGTCTAGAGAGAGGGAGTAAACAGCAGTGACACCCCTAGACACCCTACACTGCGCCCAGCGGACCGGGGGGAGTGCCCTGCCCTCGGAGGGGCCGCACTCACCACCAGCATCCCCCACCCCCCCCAGCAGCAGTGGTGCGGCTGCCGGTCTCCACAACGCCTCAGAGGGCTTTTGGTAAATTCTGCCCTGACCCCACACCCACCCTGGAGCAGGGAGCGCCCCTGTGTCCACCACGTTGTGGAACCCCACATCTCCCAGTAGAAGGCTCCCCACTCCCTTCCCTTCCCAGTCATCGTGAAACGGAATGGAAATCAGAGAGTTGTGCAGAAAACCTATTAATTCAGATCTCAGAGGCATCCGTGCCATCGGCGCTGGTGAAAGGGTACCATCCTGGGGAAAAGCACGAGGCAGGAGGAGCCCCAGACAGTTCCGTCGTCCCTCCAGGGACACCTGCCAGACGAGAGCCAGCTCGGCACTGATGCTCGCCGGCGTGTGCCACAGACACTCTGGGCCGAGCCAACAGCAGTTGGAGCAAACAGGGAAGCAGGACCCCAGGACAGGGCAGCACCCTGAGGGCCTGGCTCGGGAGCCCAGAGGCAATTTAGCCAAGTCTGTGTCTTCTCACATGCAGGGAGCCCGGAGAGGCTTGAGCCCCAGACCTGGGGCTTTCATGGTCACCTCCTCCCTCCTGTGCCTTCTGCCCAAACCACCTCCACACGTGTGCTCACCTGCACCAAGGCAGGTTAAGGGGTCGTTGGGCAGCTTCTGCCCAGCACAAGGGTGGAGGCCCTGGCCACAATCACCCTTCCTTGGGAAGGAGTGTTCTGGGCCACAGTGGGGCCTGTTCCCTCCTCTCTGATCTGGGTTCTGAGCCTCTCCGGGGACCACAAGGCCCCAGGGAAGAAGAGACTGCAGTCCCTGGCCTGGGGTGGGGCCTCTGGGGCCTGGGCTGTGCAAACAGGTCCTCTGGAGCAAATTCCCCAAGCACTCACCCACTCCACCCCTAGAACAGAAGCTCCAGCCTTCAGCCTGCTGGCCAGAGAAGCAGGGCAGGGGCTCTAAAGGACCCGCCAGGCAGATGGAGAGACTGAGACCCCGAAGGGTAGCGGCTCAGTGGCGACAAGCAGGGTGCTCTGTCTGCACCCCGCACCCCAGCCCGTCCCCAAGTCAACTTCTAGACCTCCTGGGTTGTCTTGGGAATCACAAAGTGGTAATTATCAGGGTCCATTTGAGGAGGAAAGGACACACTGATCAAGCACCTTCCTGGAGCCAGAAACCGTGGAAACACATACCGTTGACAAGCTCATCCACACACAGCACAGAGCGCTAAGAACGCGCTTCCCAGGGAGCTCTTCGGGCAGGAAACAGCTTAGCGGAGCACGTGCGTGGTGCCTCCCCCAGACCACAGGCCGACATGGGCATGGGTTGGAGCCCAGAGCCCTCCCCCTGCCCGGGGAAGCCCCTCCCCCACGGTAGCCCAGCCACGGAGGCAGCGGGCCCACACCCGTGGCTCTGCAAGTGAGTGTTTTCACCTGACACAGAACACTGAGCGTGGGCCCTTCAGCCAAGATCTCCACACCCGGGCAACCGCCCAGTCCCACACGGCGGGGGGGGCAATCGGGCGTTTCCTCACACGCAGCCACCTGCACCCGCCGCGGCCCAGTGTGGACACTGCTGCCCAACCTCCAGCCCCAAGAAGGGCACAGCCTGGGCCCTGGCCGCCTACCCTGTGAGAACCACCACGAAGTCCATGACGTTCCAGCCGTTCCGTAAGTAGGAGCCCTTGTGGAAGACAAAGCCCAGGGCTATGATCTTGATCCCCGCCTCAAAGCAGAAGATGCCAATGAAATAGGGCTCTGTGTCGTCCTGAGGAGAAGCAGAGAGAGGGTCGCCACCACCCCCAGTCCGGCAGGCCACACTCACTGCCCAGGTCTGCCGCTCCCACTCAGCCTCACCACCCACAGACTTCTCCAGCCCGGCACTTTCATCATGGGCCTGTTTGCTCCTCTGCCCTGTTGTCCCAACAGGAAATGGGGCCCTGCTCCCACAGCCAGTGACCTCCTAGTCACAGCGGGGAGGCATCCTGGGACCTCCTACCCTTCGAAGCCCTGCAGAAGGAGAAGCAATGTTGACATTTGTGGGCTTTTTCTGCAATCCATCCAACACCCCATGTGTTAAGCACGATTATCATCTGTTTCTAAAGGAAACAGACACAGAGAGGTCAAGGAACTGGGCTGGAGACTCACAGTTTGTTGGAACCAGAGCCGTACTCAAACCCAGAGGCGATCTGGGTCTGATCCTGGGCTCCAACCACTGCAGAAGTTGCCTGGATAATGTCCCAGCTCCCTAGAGTGCAGCCCAGGACCCACTTATTCATTCAACACACATCTTCTGGATAATCATAACATGCAAATGCAAATCTTGGGGGAGCAAATACAGCCCAGCCTCAGGGAGCCTCTGGAGAGCAAGACATCCAGCTAGGCAGCAAGGAAAGGAATTCCAGGTGGAGGGAACAGTGAGCAAAGCAATCTTGTCACTCAACCAAGAGCATCAACTGGGGCCAGGCCCCCCTGGTGCTGAGGTGCTGAGCAAGGTGGGAAACAAGTTGTAGAGAGCTCGGGGAGGAGGATGCCACACGGAGACACGCACAGACGGTGTGGTAAGTGACCAGGGGCATCGCTCACTTGGGGCTGCAGGGGAGGGGCGGGCCAGATTGGCTCCTAGTGGCTGCTCTCAGCTCAAACTGAGGGCCAGCGGCCTGTGCCTTCCTCCCCCAAGAAGCCTGGTCCTCAAGAGCTCTCCCCATCTGACCTGGTATACCGTCCGCCTGGGCCTTCCCAGCTGTGCACGGCAGAAGCTACCTCCCCGAGGGGCCCAGTCAGCCCAGTGTCCATCATGGCCCAGCTCCCCCATCCTGCTACCCCGATGCTGACTCATGACTGAAATCATCCCCCAGAAGCTTCAGGTCTAGTTTAGTTGGAGGGACCCCTCTCCCCAAGGGAAGGGGCTGCTGACATCTGGCCCAGGAAACAGCTTGGCTCTAACAAACACATCCTCACAGAAAGCTTCCGGACACACAAAAGAGCAGGCCAGAGCTGGGAGATGGGGTTGGCCCCCCCAGATCCCTCTCTTCATCGCTCTTCCCCCAGCCCCACTCTGGAGGGCTGGCTTGGGGAGGGGTGGGTGGGCAGACAGCCATGGGCTTGGTTGGGGGTGGAGCAGGACGAAGACCGCCAGCTAGGGTTCTGGCTACAGGCTGTGCGGGCAGTTGATGGGTGGCTGGAAAGCAGAGCCCCCAGAGACGGGGGAGCTGTGGAGGCCCCACCCCAGTCCAGGTTGGCAAACAATGGAGCACCTGCACGACCTAGCCTCCTGCCCTAGCAAGCCTCCAGGCCGAGCCCTGAAGCTGCCACAGCCCCTCCTCTCCACACCCCGCTCTGTGTTCCAGCCTTCTCTCCATCCATAGGTCTGAAGGCCAGTGTCTGCCCACAGGACTACGGTCAGCAAGGGCTCCTCAGGCCTCCAGGCCAGGCCCAGACTGAGCACATTCGGCTTGTCTTCCCAAGAGCCCACCCCCCATCACCACAAAGCAAACCTTCCCTCACCTGGGAGGCAGGAGTTCAGACTTGCCCAGATGCCCGGCTGGCCCACTCAAGCCTGCCACCCCGCAGGGACAAGCCTAAGACTGCCCTCTGTACACTAGCCTCCCTGTCCCTGACCGCCACCATCTCCTGGCCAGCTTCCTTCTGGCCCTAACACTGCCAGACTTCCCTGGAGGTACGGCCACACCCTGTGGTCTGCAGAGGTCCCCTGCTCTCACTTTCTCCTCTCCAGCTTCCAGAGCAGACGCCCACCACAAGCACGTGCCAGGCCAGCACGCACGAGGGGCCCACAGGAAGCCGGTGACCCTATCTGGCTCCACACGGGGCAGGAGTCACCCACAGGGGCCACACCCACTCAGGCCTGGCAGCACAGCTGTGCTGTCTTCACAGCCCTCCTCCCCACAACCCAAAGCCCTGGCCTTCCGAGCACCGCAGAAGACTGCTCCAGGGAGCCGCCCATTCCTGGTCGTCCATTTCCTTGCCTTCTTTTGGTGCCTTGCCCAACTGTGAGCAGCCCCAAATCAGCCTCCCTCTGTCCTCCCTTCCCCACCCCTGGGCCTGTGATGACAGGGAAGCGGCGTTCAGGGCCCACGCTAAACACTGAACAGTCCCTGTATCACCTCCTGCCTATCTCCACTGAAGCGAGGGAAAGAAGCTGTGGAGAGGACCAATCGCTTGCCAGAGTACAAGGAAAGAGGGATTCTCCTCTCGATGCCCAATGCCCCTAGGAGAGCCTGGGCTGTGTCTCAGGGACCTCAGGACCTTTAGCAGCTCTCCAGCCAGGCCCCAGACCCCCTCTCCAGACCCCTGCACCTGCTCCTCTCCCTGCTCTCAGGCCTAGGAGCCTACACCAATCCCCGGCAAAGGGTTCAGGTCAGAGGAAAGACGGGACTAGGGGACACAGCCTCACCTTTGAAATGAGGCTCACTGCTCCAAATACCACCCGCTGCCCCTCCAGAGACCCTGCCCTGGGGTTCTGACTGTCATGTGCAACAGGGGACACCACAGGGATCTGTGGAGCTCTTGACAGGAATGGGTGAAAATGATTCAGGACGTTTGGGAAGAATACTTGGGAAGGAGTGCTTCCCATATGAAGGGGACGGGATTCCCCATGGGGAAGGAATTCCAAGCAGAGCCAGGAAAGACAACTCTGAAGGACAGGCGGACAACCCCCAGACCCAGGACCATACCACAGGGACCAAAGACGATCAGAGCCCTGCCCAGGAAAGCCCCTGGGCAGCCAGAAAGGTGGGCACTCACCCAGAACCTGACATGTCCCTGGGCCATTACGAGTGCCCCTCCCCCACCCCCGGTTTCACCTAGTTTCCTAGATCAGGGCTTACGGCGGTGGAACTGAACAGCGCATCTGAGGTTCGGGGTGGCCAGTGGCCCGGGGCAGATAGCCGCTCGCTAACACGGCCTCTCTCACGCCATCCTTCCCATCAGGGCTGCGCTAGCTACCCCCGTCCTCCTGGCCCTGGGGGAGGTGTCAGCTGCCCGGGTTCTCACCTTCTCCTCCACTAAAAGGAGAAGAGAGCTACGCAGATTGCCCTGCCCGAGGGAGCTAAACTGAGCCACCGACGCTAAAGCGCGTGGAATCAGACAAGCGGCGGCCACCGCAGCCCCGCCCGCAGCCCCGCCGCCGCTCACCAGCCGCTCGGACATGGGCGTCTTGTCCCCGTCGGGGAGGTGCTGCTCCAGCGCCAGCACGATGCAGTTGGCGATGATTGTGGCCAGGATCATGTACTCAAACGGAGTGCGTGGGTTAAGGACTGGCCAGGAGGCGCCAGGGCGGAGGGGAGGCGAGGAGGCGCACGGCGCGCAGCGCAGCAGGCGCGGGAGGCCCCCTCCGGCGGCGCTGAGGATGACGGGTCGGAAGCCCACCCCGCCCTGCCCGCCCTCACCCCGGGGCCGCCTCGAGGCGGAGCCTCTGGCCGTCTGGGCGGCCAGCCCCTCGGCGCGTCCCGGCGGCCGTCAGCACCGCGGACAGCGCCCCCGCCGCGCTCCGCTCGGCTCCCGCGACCCGAGGGGAGGGCCCTGCGCCCCCCGCGCCAGGCTGGAGGGAGGACCCCGCGCAGGCGCACACTCCCACCTGGAGACACGTAGCCACATGTACCTACCCAGGCACTCGAGCATACATGTACCGCGTCCCGCACGCGCGCGCGCGCAACACCGGCTTCATGTAATGCCCGCACACACACGCAAGCACCTGCAGCCAAGCACGCGCCTGGGCTCGCGTCCACCGGTGCTCGCACCTACACACACGGATTCGCCCTCGGGTGCCCTCCAGGCTGGCCGCGCGCTCTGCACCCACACCAAGGGAGTGAAGGCACGAGTCCAGGGACAGGGGGCTCCGCCCAGCGTCCATCCCGCTCCCGCAGCCACCCCCACCGCGACCACGCGCGCGCGCGCGCACACACACTCAAACACACACGCACACGCGGCGCGCGGAGGGCCCCGGAGCCCCGCCCCGCCCCCTCCTCGCCGAGAGCCGCGTCCCCGAGCCGCCTCTCCCAGGTCGCACCCTCCTCCCGACCCCGGAAAGATGGCCACTGGGCGCCGCACGCGTCCCGCCCCAGCCCCGGGCTCCCCCCACCCCCGCCCAGGCCGCCCCTCCCAGACCCGCCGGGCGCGGACGCCGGACGCCGCGCCCGGTCGCTGTCCCCTCGACCTCGGACGGCCCCCCGGCCCCCTCGCGGCCCGGCCCCGGCAGGATATGGCCACTCGGTGATGCGCTTGGCGTATTTGCGGACGACGTTGTCCTCGCTGAAGACGAAGAGCGAGCGGTTGACGGTGAAGCAGTTTTGCTTGACCGGGATGGGGTTGTACAGCGCCATGGTCCGCGCGCGCTGCGCGATCGACTGCTTGTAGAGGACCCGCTGGCCGGGCTGCAGGCCCCCCGGGCCCGGGCCGCCCGCCCCGCCGGCCCCGCCGCCCCGAGCCCGCTCCCCACCGGCGCCCCCATAGCGGCTGCCCAGCTCGTCCCCGAAGCGGACCATGGCTCCTGGGCGCCGCGCGCATCCCCCGGCCCGGCGGCCCCGGCAGGGAGGGCGCGGGCGCGCCAGCCAGGCGCTCGGAGCGGAGCAGCAGCGGAGCCGCGGGACCCACACCGGACCTCGCCCGGCCCCGCCGCCGCACCCGACTCCGCCGCCCGCACCACGCCCTATAAGGGGTCGGTCACGTGGCGGCGCCCGGCCAATCCGCGCTCGCGCCGCCCGCCCGAAGGCCGCCCGCCCCGCCCCCAGCTGGCCGCCCCCGCCCTGTCCCCCGCGGCCGGTCCCCGCCGCCCGCCCTCCGGGCTGCGCCTCGGCCCCCGGGCCTCCGCGCTGAGCCCCGGGCTCGGGCGGGCGCGGGAGCGGGCGCCGTCTGCGCGTCCCGCTTCGCGCCCCTGCGGGCGCTGGCCAGATGCTGAACTCGGCCGCGGCGGCCGGGAGCCGGGCGGGGCTGGCTGTCCTCGACGGACCGCCGAGCTGAGCGGCCCCAGTGGACGCCTCCTTTGCCCCCAGGAGCAGGAGGCGTCACGGCCGTGAGAAGCTCCAGCCCAAACTGCGGAGGGTTAGGCCCCTGGCTCCCCGTGTTTCTTCCCACACCTCACTCCCCTTGCCGCGGACCACTGGCCTCCTCCAAGATGCTGGCTCCCGGCCCTCTCCTGCCATCCTTTCGGAGTCTTTCACATCCTTATAGACCATGCTCTCAACTCCCTGGTCTTGGGTTTTCAGGATGCACGACTCTGTCCTGGGACCCCTCAGCCCTCAATCGTACCCTAGGCCTTCCTGTCAACATGCCCTGAATCGGCTCCAAAATCTCAGCTCAGAGATTCCTTTGTTCCATCATCCATTCGGTAACAATTAAAGAGAGCCTGCTGTGTGCTCTCCACCCATCCTTCCACCCATTCAGCGACTCCACTAAACACCTATCAGATGCCAGGCACGAGGCTCCCAGCTCTGCCTTCATGGAGCGGACATTCTTACACAAGGAATGACAAATGCTTCCACAGTGCTTACTTCGTGCAGGCACTGCTGTATTCCGTTCGCACACTATTTGTTCGTTCAGTCCTCACAACACTCAGATAAGAAGCCTCCTGGAATCACTCCTGGTGAGTGACTGAGGGGATAAAGCAGATGTCGCACACTGTCCCCTTCACCGGTGGACAGCAAATCAATACGGTGGCAGCACCAGGTGGCAGGGAGTGCTGTGAGAACAGAACAAGGATGGCAAATGACACTGAGTCGGGGAAGACCTCTGTCAGGAAGCGAGCGGGGCCAAGTGAGTCCAGCACAGAGCGCAGGGGCCCAGGGGCAACCTTGGGCTGTGCTGATGGAGTTATGGGCTCCCACTTCAGGTCTCAAAGTCAGAGAAGAGTTCTGTGCAGAGGGGTCATCATGACTCCAGTTCTGGAAGAATCCCTCTGGCTGCTGAGTAGGGAACGGTGGGGGGCTGGGGAGTGTTGCCCAGGATGCATTCAGAGGTGAGCAACTCAAGCCAGCTATCGGTGGCTCACTCGGTGCAGTTTTAACCTCACTTAATAAAAAGGCATAAAGTATGCCATTTCAGGAACACAAACTCTTTCCATCCTTCCTCCCTCCCATGGTCGCAGTGTATACTTTTTGTCCTCATGCTTGTCACCTCATGGTCCAAGGTGGCTACCATAGCCCAAAGCATCCCATCTTTATACCACCATCTCAAATGAAAGAAGGGGCAGGTGTAAAAAAGACATCCATTTTTTAAAAGTAAACACATAGCATCCTTTTATAACAAAGGAAAGGTTTCTCAGCAGCTCCCCAGAAAATTTCTCTTTAAACTCTGTTGGGCAGATCTGAACCATGTACCACTCCTGGTTTCAAGAGGGTGGGAAAGTAGATGTATAGCAAAAAGGACCAGGACTGACATTACACACTGAGGTGGGCACGTAGTGACCCAGACATAAACAGGGTCACTTAGCTGCAAAGTGGAAGGGAAGAGTATAGGGAGGCTGCCAAAAGGCCTGTCACTGGAGAAATTGGGGGGGTCTTTGACAGCAGCCCAAAGGAGAGATGGTGTGCTTTGGATGAGAAGCATCATGCCCAGAGGCTCTGTCGTGCAGCTGACTGGATGGCTGATGCACTGCTTATAAGACTTGCCAGAGAAGGAATGGAGGCTCTTAGTTTTTTACCTGACTGTTGACTGGTACTCTTCACTGAAGCAGGGAAATGAGGGAAGAACTTGTTGATCACAGGGTGGAGATTAAGAACTTCGTATTTGACATAAAAGTGGAGATGCTGAGTAGGCAGTTGGATGTTGCAAGGGATGTTCAGACGATAGGTCGTGGCTGGAGATACGAATCTGGAAGCTGTGTGAAACACTTTGTGTCTGCCCCTCCCATTCTCTCTGCCCTTCCCCACTCTGCTCTGTGCCATGCACTGACCTATGTAGACTGCATCAGCTCACTCCCTTGACATCCAGCTCTTGGTTGTACTTGGCTGATGGGGAGCACCAGTAGGCACTTGGAGGAAGAAAAGAACAAGGTCAAGGTATGTATCCCCCGAGCTCTCTCCTGCTGGCTCACCTGGGGTTGGCCATAAGTCTCAATTGAAGGTCCCAGCTCCTGTCAGCCCCTCCCGGTTCCTGCTCCCTCTCCTTGTTTCTGCAGACCTGGGAGTGGTGCCAGTGCCTGGAGTCATCAGTCCCTCGAAGTTTTGTTATACCCTGCACAAATCATGGTAGATAGTCCCTTTGAGTGTGCCACCCTGGCAGACCACTGTCTGACTCAGAAATCATCACTGAGGGAATAAGTGTAGACAGAGAGCAGAGAGCCCCGGGGGACAGGAGGGCACTCAGAAAGAATCAAGTAGGTGAAAAGGAGCCTGAGAAGGAGCAGCCAGAGAATTCAGGGAGGGAAGGATCAGGAGAGCCCAGTTTCCAGGGCCATGGGAGGAGCATATGTCAAGAAAGAGGTTAGGGTGCCTGGGTGGCTCAGTTGGTTAAGCGACTGTCTTCGGCTCAGGTCATGATCCTGGAGTCCCTGGATCGAGTCCCGCATCGGGCTCCCTGCTCGGCAGGGAGTCTGCTTCGTCCTCTGACCCTATCCCCTCTCATGTGCTCTCTCTCTCTCATTCTCTCTCAAATAAATAAATAAATAAACAAAATCTTAAAAAAAAAAAAAAAAAAGAGGTTATACTCATCTGCCAAAAACTGCTGAGCAATCCGGAGAGATGAAGACCAACATTCAATCGTTAGCAAGACAGAAGCACCTGTTACCTTGATAAAAGCAGTTTCCGTAGAAGAGTAAGAAATAGCCTGAATGGAATGGATTAAAGCAGATGACTCATGAGGAACTGCATACGGCTAGGACACACACCTTGTGCAGTGAGTTGTTCTGCAAAAGGGAGCAGAAACACGGTACAATATAACCAAAGAGAGGTCCAGCATTTAAGGAGTTTGTGTGCTTGCTTTTTTTTTTTAGGATGGGGATGTTATTGGACTTTATATGCATATTGAAATTACTCAATAGAAAGAAAAATTGGTGGCGCAAGAAGGGTGTGTTGCCTAGTCTAGGTAAGAGGGCACAGGACTTGGGACAGTTCATTGGTTGCAGCAGAGGGGAAGACCAGCCACATGATTGTAGGCACAGGTGGGTTGGTAGATTGGGGGTGGACGAGGACTGTCTTCTGACTGCTCTACTTTCTCAGTGAAATAAGAAACAAGATAATCAACCAAGAGGGAGAAGGGGCATTGCAGGCTGAAAGGAGGAGGAGCAGGCTGAAATGCTCCTCCGCAGGAACAAAAAAGAGAATCCACTGGGGGAAATGTGGTGGGGCAGGCAGTTCTGAGCGGAGCGGGATGCAGAGGGAAGCATCTTTGGGAGTGAGGAAGTTAGGACAGGGGGCTGGAGTCTGTTACCCCTTGATTACACTCTTCTTCCTCCCTGGACCTTCCAGCTCACCTGTTCTACACCCCACTCCAGATCTCAGCGCTTCCTACTCCCCAGCCCCCTCCTTTCCTGCCAGGGCTCCCTGGTCCCTCACCCTCTGTCCTACCCACCGGCAAATGCCCCACCCTGAACCTCCAGGAGTACCCCCATGAGGCTCCAGCTGCTGCAGAAGGTCACACACTGGACAGACTAGTCCCCCCCCCAAGGAAGTCTTCAGGGGTCGCCAAGTTGGTACTGCTCCATGCTTGGCGACAACATTGTCACCATGCTCCACTGTCCTCGAAATTCAGCCCCCTGTTGGAGGGTGGAGGCCTTGCCCCCATTCCCTCCACTATACCTAGAAGCCCAGCACCTCCTCAGCATCTCCTACAGACGTCCCTCCCCTTCTTTTTTCCCACCCTTGCTGAGATATAACTGACATTTAACGTTGTGTAAGTTTCAGGTGTACAGTGTGATGATTTGATACGTGTATATATTGTAAAATGATTTCCACAGGAAGGCTCGTTAACGTATCCATCACTTCACATAGTTACCTTTCCTTTTGCTGTTGCAGTAAGAAGGCTTAATTAAGATAACTGCAAGTTTATACCTTTTGACCAACATCTCCCCATTTCCCCCACCTCCCAGCCCTTGGCAACCACCAACCTACTCTGTTTCTGTGAGTTCAGCTTTTTTAGATTCCACATGTCAGTGAGTCTTTTTTTTTTTTTAAGATTTTATTTATTTATTTGAGAGAGAGAATGAGAGAGAGAGCACATGAGAGGGGGGAGGGTCAGAGGGAGGAGCAGACTCCCTGCCAAGCAGGGAGCCCGATGCGGGACTCGATCCCGGGATTCCAGGATCATGACCTGAGCTGAAGGCAGACGCTTAACGACTGAGCCACCCAGGCACCCCTATTTTTTTTATTAAAGATTTTATTTTTAAAGTAATCTCTACACCCAACATGGGGCTCAAACCTACAACACCTCGATCAAGAGTCACACGCTCCACTGACTGAGCCAGCCAAGTGCCCCTTGTGCAGAAGCTTTTTTTCAGTTTGATGACCACTTGTTTTTTGCTTTTGTTGCTTGTGGGTTTGGTGTCATATCC